ATTCTAATGATTCTTAAATTTGGTCTCTTAATTTTGTCCCAGAGTTCTTGTATACTCTGGTCATGATTATGTATTTTTTTCTTTAATACAATTTACATGTTCAAGGCCAGCTGTTTTATCTTCCAACTCTGAGATTCTGTCTTCATCATGGTCTACTATATTAAAGACTTTCAACTAAACACTTTATTTGATTTCATTTGCAAGATTTCTATCTGGTTCTTTTTCAATATTTATATCTCCTTATTAAATTTCTCATTCTTTTCCTATAACAACTTCCTTAATTAATTTGGTTGTTTTTCTGTGTTCTCTTGGAATTCATTGATCATTTTTATAATGATTGTTTTGAATTATTTATTTGATATTCATCCATTTAATTATCTCTGGGATCAGTTGCTGGTGAATTATGAACTTTAAAAGACATTGTGTTGCTTAGGTTTATGTATTTCTTGTATTCCTCTGTGGGATTTTATGCATCTGTCAGGATGGATTTGTATTTCACTCTTAAATGTGGTCTTTTTTATGGAATAGCCTTCTGTTCCAATGTGTCTGTCCTAGGGTGATACAGATTCAGAACTTATATGTGTGGTATCCACGGTGTTTGGGTTAATTTTGTTTTTGCTATAGGAGTAGATGTCCATGGTTGGAACCTGAGGACACCCCTGACCATTTTTACTTGGGACCTGGTCATTAGTTTTATGTTTTTGTCTCTTCAATTTCTTGTATTAAATTGCCACTGAAATTCAAGTTTGGTTAATTTGTGTGTGAATCAAGGTGAGCTTTTCTTGACTGGGTTTAGTTCACCAGCTGATTCTCTACCCTGTGAACTTGTAGTGTCCTTATACATTCACAGAGCATCAAAGAAAGGAGGGGGAAGAAACATCCAAAGCAAACAATATAGAGCATTAAAATAAATGCCCAGTGCTTACTCTGACCTCTATAGCACTGATTATCACAATAACAGTAGTGTTTGGGTGAGCAATTGCCAACAATAAAAACAATAAAGAGCTGTGAAGAAGATCTGGCATTAAAAGAGACAATAAAGGCTTGTTTTAACTATGCCATCCACAGTATAATAACTGAAACAACATAAGGGGTGGAGGCAGGAGTCATATAAACTAAATAGTTACAATAGATGGGAAAATACAGTTCATTAGAAGAAAAATATACATGATAGAAACATAAAAGAAAGTTTAGAATGTTCAAAATGTAAACAGAGAGAATAAAGGAGACATGTAGCAAGTAATGGCTATAAAGATGGGGTAAAAAATATAGAAAACAAAACGAAGGGGAGAAAGAACAAGAGAACTTGGCTGTTAGTAGAAGAAGAAAGGAGAGAAACAAGCAAACAGAAGCAAAGCAAAATAGAAAACCCAAAATAAACAAACAGAATTTTGTATAAAAATGCAAAAAAATAAAAAAACAAACAAAAATATACATACATACATGAACCAATCAGCACAGCAACAATACCCAACAAACAAACCAACTAGATTCATAATAAAAAAATGAAAATGGAGTCTCCACAGAGATGGTCAAAGCTCCTGGTGAGTTTGCATGATCACTGCTTATGCCCTACTGTTTTCTTTCTGTTTCTTTTTAAGCTGTGTACCCCTTAGAGAGGGTAAGGGCTAGGGGTTGTTAATTCTTCCTCTTTATGAATTGCTCACTGAGATAACAGTTGAGTGGCTTAAAACTGAAGCTGGTTGAAATAGCTCTCAGATTCCCTTCTCACCAGCACAAGGTAGGATGGAGTGGGACGTACTGGTTGAAGTTTGTCAGACAGACCAGCCCAGTGCACTCCCAGGGTGGTCTGTTGCAGACTTTTAAGAGGGGATTTTCAGCAGCTGGGGCTTAGGTCTCATCAGGCCTTAGGGAGTTTGCTGAGTGGTATCTACTCTGGAGATATTAGACCAACATATCCCTAGGTCCAGGCAGATGGGAATCCCTGTTGGGAGTCTGGATTTCAAGAACCTCCCAAGAATTCCACTCATGGGGCAGGGAACCAACTCTACACAGGTCTTACATGCTCCATTATCAAAGACAGCTGCCTTCTCAGGCTTAGACCCTGAGTGTAATCACAACCATCTCTTCAGTTTAGCCCTCTTTAGCTGGTCCTATGAGTTTCCATACCCAAAGGGTAAGCAAGTCACACTTCCCTCCATATTTCCAACTTAAACATCCTTGGGTACAATCCTCTCTGTTCCTGTTTTACTCATGTTCTGCTTACATCCTAGGCTACATGGTAGATGTTTGCCAGGACAGAACGGCAATGTTTGCTACAATCTCCTGAGCTCCCACAGCAGCAAGATTCATTGTGATCTCCTCAAGATGACTTTTGCTTCAGCTCGGTGGCTGCCAGTTGATAAACAGCACTTTTCAAGTTATTCTACCAGATAGCTGCTAGGCTCTGGATCAGCTAAGTTCAGCCTGCTTTTCTGATCTCAGATTTTTCCACGCCAAATTTGTCCATGGGATTTCTCTTTGCTTGTAGTTTCTATCCCCTCTGTGGTAAACTTGTGCCTCTGCTGTTTCTGTAACTGGATTAGCCCCAATGTACTCTTTCTCATTCTTTGTTGAGTGCATGTGAATTTCCGAGTCTCTAAGACACTTTGACTATCTGATATTGAATTTTAGTGATTTCTTTCTTTCATTCACCTCATTGAGAAGCAACAGCTGCTGCTTGAATTGTGAGCCATGGAGCAACTATTAACACAGACTTTCTCTCACCCATCATCTTGAACCACTCCTACAATCTTCCTGCCTCCTTCCTGTTGAACAGGATTGATGAGTAGTGAGAAACTGTTTCACAGAAGCCCAGCCACTTTGGGTTCTGCAGTCTGGGTCTGACAAAGTCTTGGTCCAAGTAGTTTGACTGCCAGAATAGAAACTCACAGTTTGTGAAAATGTGTGAAATTTTAGGAAGGAAAGGAGTCTTACTCGGTTTAAGCCATAATTATTCCACCTCTGACTGGCTGCTCGTGGAATAAGGTAAAAGTGATGAGTAATCCTCAATATCCAGATGATTGCTAAGGTCTTTCCTAAAACTGGCAATATATATTAATTATCTCAGCTGATCATCCCTTGAAGAAATGATACCAACACACCAGCATCACTCAAGCATTGCCAGGAAAAATGGTTAATGAAATTGAGACACTAAGGGCAACATTGTCCTCCTGCAACCAACAGTATACGAAAGTGGCCAAAAATTTTTTTTCCCCCGTACTACATAACTTTCAAGGGCAAATATATATCTGCAAGAAATATATATTATATTTTCTTATATATAATATAAGATTAAGGATTCTAGCTGGGGTGTACACCCGTAATCCCAGTGGCTCAGGAGGCTGAGGTAGGAGGATTGTGAGTTCAAAGAGAGCCTCAGAAAAAGTTAGGTGCTAAGTAATTCAGTGAGACCCTATCTCTAAATAAAGTACAAAATAGGACTGGGGATGTGGCTTAGTGGTTGAGTGCCCCTGAATTCAATTGCTGGTACCAACCCCCCCAAACAAACAAACAAACAACAAAAAAAAAAAAACAAGAAGAAAACAGAATGAAGAAATGTGAAACATTTATACATGCACATATGTTTAGTTATCAAGTTGAGATTTATAATAGCAGGTATCCTTGAATCTTTAATGGCACAAGATGTGAATGAAGAGTTAGATTTACTCTATGTGACTCAAGGAGAGTAGTGAGTACAAATCAGAAGAAAGGGGCTTATAGGAATGAAGTCACCTTGATTTTCCAGAAAACTTTGCTCATGATTAGTTTTGGGGGTCAGTTTCCTATTTACGCTGTCCCTATAGAAGACAGAGGCAGGCAGTGTCTAACTAGAAACCTAACTATTCCCTTTCGTAGAAGTTTTAGAAAAATAAAAACAAAACAGCAACAACAACAAAAAAACAAACAACAAACCTAAAGTAGATGAGAAAGTGTATTTTTTTTTCTTTGCAGAGGGAGATATTCATGGAAATGTACACTGCTGATGTATTTTATCAAAGTTTTGGGGAAAGGAAAAAAGTAATAGAAACTCGGAAAAAAATCAATGGTCAAGGCAGCCCTCCACCTCAGGAAGGTTGGCTCATAGTTTATGGGAAATTCCAGGGAAGATATAAGATAGTCATTGCATTATAAGCCTATAATCCATGTTAATAACAGAAAGTAAAATCACATTAAGAATAAACTTACATATGATTACATATTTTGAATCTGTAGTTTGATGTTTTGTGAGGCTATTTCCTCATTCTCTAAGGATTTTGTAGAATAGAAGACATGAGAGATGAGAAAAAGTTTCTTAAAGCACATCAAATTTCCCATTGCAATTCAACCCAATCTATCTGTCAAACTCTCTGGAGTATTAATGATTCAATAACTCATCCCCATGTTATTTTACCATTAAGATTTGATCTTTACTTTTTATCACAAGCATCTTTACAGAAGGCAGAAGACATGGCTTGACTTTTGGTACTGCACATTCTCTGGGAATGGTGAGTCATGTGCAAGACCAGGCTTGGAGGAGCAGAGTCTGAGACAATGTGAATTTCAAGTATCCAGTAGTTCTGGCTACTTGACACTGGTCTTTGGCTTATGGTTTAGTTGTTTATGAGAGTGAATCATGGTGCTTCCTTAATTTCAAATCTGTCAAGTCAACCTTATCAACATCAAGAGCATATGTTTCAAATTTATTAACAATGACTAAGTAGTGTGCAAAACCATCAACTTTGATCTTTATATACTTACTGTAAATCTTATCTCTGATCTAGGATCTACTTTGACCTATTTCTCTTTCTATGTATTTTTCTTAGTCTCTGATAAGGTAAAAGACTATTTAACCAGAGTTCAGTAGTTAGGGATGTGACCACAAGGTGGCAGTCTACCCCAGCTGGTGCAGAATCCGTGGGGCTTTATTTTAGTGGATTCTGAATGAATAGGCTTAGGGGAGAAGCAGGGCTTTTTTTCTTATTGGTTGGGTTGACAATAAGAGAAGCCACTATAATTGTTAGAGAGAAAAGGAACAACTTGATAACAGAAGTAGATCCTGGGTAGGTTGCAAGTCTGGATTGATCTTAATTGGGAAGAACAATGAAGACATCTCCCTTTGCTTTATTCATGTTCTTGTGGCTGCAGCTGGACTGTGAGTTGAGGATTTGGGGGAAGCAGAGTATATTAGCAAATGTTCTTCAGACATATGTGAAGAAGACTGTTTTTTTTTGCAGGTTTTCCATAGTCACTGAAGAAAAGGAAAAATTTTGAAGAGTAATCACATGCCAACATTATCTTTTTTTCTTTTACTTTCTGCCTAGGGGTGAGCCAAGGAGAGAAGGTGGAGCAGCATCCTTCTACTCTGAGTGTCCAGGAGGGAGACAGCGCTGTTATCAACTGTACTTATTCAGACAGTGCTTCGAACTACTTCCCTTGGTATAAGCAAGAAACTGGAAAAGGTCCCCAGCACATTATAGACATTCGTTCCAATAAGGAGATGAATCAAGTCCAGAGATTCATTGTTGTGTTGGATAAGAAAGCCAAACACTTCTCCCTGAACATCACAGTCATCCAACCTGGAGACTCAGCTGTCTACTTCTGTGTAGCCAGTACACAATGCTTCCCAGACACCTGCAGCCTGTACTCAAACCTGCCACTGGGCTGAGCTGCTTCCTTTGCATAGACTTCCCAGTATAACATTTGCTATATTTATTTTTGAAAGTGGCAGCTATCATATAGACATTAAAAACACATAATAAAAAGTTAGGTTCATGATGATCCAGAAAGAGTTAGAATATTTTTTTGGCTGATTATTACTTAATAATTACTTTTTAATTTGTATTTTTATGTGTATTTAAGGGGTATAATATTGTTTTTGAAAATCATACCCATAGTGAAAATTGTCAGGTGATTGAGGAGATGAATAGGGAAGGCATTGGGAAGGAACTTACAACTCCAGGTATCTCCATGTGATCAGCAACTCTAAAGCTGTGCTTAGTGGATTCTTAAAGGGAATTAGAACTGTTTTGCCTTGAAATCTAGACTTGGAAGATGAGTTTACACTATTTAGGCTCCTCTCCTATAAATAACCCCTTGTGATCAACATAATCCTTATTGTTGGTGGGCTTTAGACTCTTTAGATATCACATTTGTTATTTTTCTGTTTATAAACATTACATGACAAATATTAAAAATGTAAAGTACAAAAAATGTGAAATTTACTGTGCAACAGAAAAATATGTAATTTGACTCTCTATGTAACCATTTCACTCTCTACATGTATCATATAACATTCTGTTATAAACCCAAGTTATATGTAGCAAAATTTATTTTAAATAAATGTATTTATTTCCACTTATATATGTCTTTCTTTTTTGAAAAAGTTACAGTTTGTAATAAAAACTAAATTTATTTCTTCACATTTAATTTTTATTGCTGTCTTATCTTTATTTCTGGTGTATGTTAAAAATTTTACATATTTACTATATTTATTTTATATATTTAATATGTTTATATATATGTATATATTTGCTACCAATGGCTTTTTAGAGTGGAATTATAGCACTAGTGTGACTATTGCCTGAAGTAAAGTCTATACTTAATTAAATTATTTTAATAGTTATTAGAACAAAATAAGATAAGTGAGAAATATATAATATTTTACCATTAAGGTGATAAAATACTATTTAAAGTATAAAAAAGTTAAGGCTTGCACAGGAGATAGCACACTGAGTGGTTCCAATCAGCCAGAGAATTCTGTTTTGACAGTCTCTGAGGCACTGTACAGGTGGGACCAGGTCCTGTGTGTTTCGTGGATCCTGCATTAGTGCTCATTTTCTGAGGACATCTGCATAAGGACATTATCTACAGAATCTTAATTAAGATCTTTAATGTAAGTTATTTTTAAATTCTTATCATATAAGGATGAATAACGTTGTACTAGTCGTTAAATGCAACCAAGGATCAGTCCCTTGTGCTTTAGTTGTTCAACTGGTAGTAAATAGCACTTAATGAGGACAGTTCCGGAGGCATCTTTCTCTGCATTGTTTTCATATCCTCTGTCATTGGGTTTAAGTGACATCCATGTTTAACTGAAATGCCAGGAAGGGCAGCCGGTTGGCATGGTGATGAAAGAGTAGACTATCCTGAGTTTATTTCTCTAGTTAAATTTGTAAAAAAATGGAATATGTGTGGTTGAGGAGCTACATCTGCCTACATGTGACCATTTCACAGCAAGAAAACAGACAACTTTGTATGGGGTGGCTGAGGGGAAGCAAGGTCTCATGAGCTTAGGTGAACAATACATTACTTAGGATGTGGGGACTTGAGCAGTAATTAATATAGTAATTAATTTCACCTGATTTTAGTTTTTTATTTATGGTACTGGAATGGAACTCAGAGCTTCACATACGCCAGGCAGGTGCTCCACCACTGAGCTATACCCCTTGCATAAGGACTTTGGTCAGAAAGACATGTTTAATTCATCATAATCATCTGCTCAAGCATCACCACTCCCCAGCTTCTATGGTTTCTCTTATATTGTGGGACTTTGTCTTCAGGACAAGATTTCTTTCATTAGCAAAAAGACAAAATATTTCAGATATTTAATGTATATTTGTAATAATACTGGCCTGGTATTATCCTTTTTTGATTTGTAAGATATGACACAATTAATTAACAAAGTTGGCTTGAGGGTGTCAATATCTTTTTTGGATATGGATGCTTTTTGAATAACAGAAGTACAATTATGTGATTTCCTTGGATAAAAACTACAATGGATTTAAATATTTTCAGAAGAACTTCATAATCTCATAAGTCAGTCAACCTCCTGGTAAAAAATGTTGGGTGTTTTTAGAAAGCAGAACAGTTGCAATGGATGTGGTATCATCATATTCAATGAGAATTTCAGTGCAATATCTGAAGATGCTTCCACCACCCAGACAAGAATAAAATTATTTTGAGAGAAGGAGGATAATTTTGGCTACTGTACTAAGATATAGGGGATGGCCAGCAATGCGTCTTTGTTGCTTATCATGTTGTTCAGTAATGTTTCTAGGACATGTCCTTATCGTTAATGTGCACATAAAAAAGAAGGGTTTTTCACAATTTCTCATGCTATGGACATCTGTCCTAGGGAGGTGTCTGAGGTAACTTAGTATAGGTTTCATGCAGATTTGGGCACACAGAATATGGGAACTTGCTGTGGTTCATCAAAGGTCCCAGTTGAGGCAAAAGGAAAACTAAGAATTCAAAGGTTTGATAACTTGCTGACCAAACTCTGGTACCTAATCTGGCCTTCATGAACAGAGCTGGGCAGGGAAAACTAAATTGAGAAAGGAAGGGGCACTTAATGACAGGATTCACTGTCTGAGGGCTTCCTTCTAAACATTTTAGAAAAGAGAGCTTATTATTATTTTTTTTCTGCTGCTTGGTCAAAGATAGGCAACTGGACAGACACTGAAAGTGAGAGGAAATATTATAATATCAGTAAGCAGGTGAAGAGAGCTGCAGTGATTAGTAAACACAACTGAGACTTCTGTTGATAAAGTGATTGATTTTTACCTTAGAATAAAAGACACCAATAGCTCAGTTGATAGAGTATTTGCCTTGCATGCATAAGGCCCTGGGATTGATTCCCAGCACCACAAAAAAAAAAAAAAAAGACACCATACATAGGGGAGAGTATACATGACTATGGCCTTTCACCTGTCTGCATAGTCCACCACACACACAGTGCTTTAAGCAAGTGCCACTTCCCACGGCCATCACACTGAGTTTACCACTTGGTGGAATAGTATTCCTTCCAGTATGCCCATGTTTGTTTTCAGGTTCAAATATTGTTAAATTAAAAAAAAATTATTTGTTTTAATTAGTTATACATGACAGTAGAATGCACTTATATACTTTGATATATCATACATAGATGGGATATAATTTCTCATTTTTCTGATTATATATTTTGTAGAATCACATTGGTCATACAGTCACATTCATACATAAAGTAATTATGTCTGTTTCATCCTACTATCTTTCTTATCCCCACATCCCCTGCCTTCCCCTCCTTTCACTTCCTTCTACCTAATCTAAGGTAACGCTATTCTTTTTTTTAATTAAAATTCTTAATACACATATATACCACAATTTTTGTATCTCTGTTTGTATATAAAGTGTGTTGACACCCAATTCAAGTCTTCATAAATGTACTTTGTATAATGATGTCCATCATATTCCACCATCCTTGCCAATCCCCTGCCCCCTTCCTTTCCCTCCCACCCCTCTTCCCTATCTAGAATTCATCTATTCCTCCCATGCTTTCCCTCCCAATCCCACTATTGAACAGGTACCTGCTTTCCAACTTCCTCTCCCTGCCCGCCTCCCTAGCTGCAATTACTCAGAACAAATATTGTTAAATTAAGAATTAAATTAAGAAGAGAGTCTGGGTTGGTGAGATCATCAGCTAGGACACTGAAATGTTTGACAAGACCCACACCTACTTTCTGCCCCAGGAAGCCTCTGTTTCCTGTTCAGGGACAGCAGCAGCAGCTTGAAGCCCAGTGGTTCCTCCCTCACCTTGTCAGGCTCCCCTCCCAGTGCAGAGCCCTGAAGTTGAAGAAGAATTTCTTCTGAAGGAAGAAGGCAAACATGATGCTGTCCAGGCTGCTGAAGCTGGTCATGATGTCCATGTGGCTAGGTAAGGATGATGCCTATGGGAAGGGGCCTTCTCTGTGACCACGGGACTGGGGCATTGGGTAGCCTTAAAGGGACTTTGGAGGGATGGTTAGCAATGTGTAAAAGTGCACTTTTTTCCCCCCAACCATTTGTCCTAACTTTCTGATTCTGTCTTTTTTCCTTCAGGATCCAGTTTTGCCCAGAAGGTGGCTCAGGCCCAGCCAGCCATGTGGGTGCAGGAGAAGGAGGCTGTGACCCTGCTCTGCTCCTATGACACCAGTGAGACAAGTTATGGTCTCCTCTGGTACAAGCAGCCCAGCAGTGGGGAGATGGTCTTCCTCATCCTTCAGAACTCTTACACCCAGCAAAATGCCACAGAAGGTCGCTACTCAGTGAATTTGCAGAAGGCAAGCAAATCCATCCAGCTTGTCATCTCAGCCTCACAGCTGGGGGACTCAGCGATGTATTTCTGTGCACTGAGAGATGGCACAGTGGGAGGACTGTTGGAGGGAGGTGCACAAAAACCCAGGGTCTGCCTGAGACAGCCACCTGCTGTAGGGACCAAGGCAGGGAATGGGCACCCCAGACAGGAAGTGGGCAGGTCTGTGGCAGCTCCTGTCTGGGGTTGCAGGGAAAACACTCAACCCTCTCTAGGTTCATAGACCACATCAGAGTTATCACTAATCAAAGCCATCCATATTCCTGAATCTTTGGATTGAAGGCTGACCAAATTATTTTGTTACAGAAGATTGAAAAGGAAGAGCAGCTACAACAAACAATGTTGGTTGAAAAATTGGCTAAGGAAGTTCAGAATCATGTGGCTGAAAAAAAAATCAATAAAATCTGTATGAATTGTTACATATTCAGATCAATTTGTCCAATAAATATTTATTGAATAAATATTACTTTATTTAAAATAGAGAAGTCCTTTGAATCTCTCTTGTATGTTTCATTTTTAAAAATACCATCTTTATCTTCAATTCGATTAAATAAGTATATTCCTACATATTCTTCTGTATGTATACACATTTTCAAT